TATTGAGACTGCCTTGTGTGACAGAGCCTCAGTACGGTGTGATGGTGACAAAGAAAAGTCTTGAGAGACTTTGTGTCCTCACACCACCCTGGTTCCCAACCCTCTCAGTCATGACTGACCAAGGAGCTGCTGCCACACTTTTCCAGACAGCTGGAAGACAGTTAACTATTTGCATTTTGTGAAACATCAGCCCTCTTTTAATGCCTTTTCTAATGCAGAGCCTATCAATATTCGGCATACCCAGATAAGCAGGATAGCTGATGCTCCACCAGACCACCAGAAAGAAAGGCAGAGCTGAAGTGCTCACTTAACAGCCCATCCAGATGAAAGGGGCCCTGGCATAGCTTTCGCTGCTGTGCCGAATCCCCTTGGGCCAAACGCCTCCTCTGAACCACGCTAAATGGGGAAAGCAGGAGCTGCAGCTCTCCTGGCCTTTGCTCACTGCTGGCAAAAGCAAAGCCGCTGCCCAGGGCGGTGGTTTACTGCTGGGATACAGAGAAAACCAGCAAAGTGAGGCTTACAGCCACAAAACACTTCAAGGGGTTGTGTTGCCACCATCCCTAAGGACCCGAGCCCAGGTGGGGACCCACAGCTCCAGCTCTGGCTCCTCTGCCCAGGGACCCTCGTGGGATCAAACTCCCTGCTCGTTGCTAAAGCCAAGCAAGGCACTTGGCAACGCATTTCTGTGGTTGTGGATTTTGCTGTGAAAACAAAACCAGAAATCCCCTGGAAAGCCAAGGGGTGAAGAAAAGGGAGAGCAAACAATATCCCAGGCCAGTTTGGTTTAGAAAGACCTGATTTTCCCACGGCCTATTTTTCAGAGAAGTGCTGTCACAGGATTTCCTTCAGGGCACTTCAGCTGCTGAGTGGGAGGCATTTAAAGGCCTTCGAGCTGCTGGCTCTCAGAAATCACCCCATCAGTTCCTATTTACAGCTGTACCAAGGCAAAGTCGCGCCCAAAAAGGAGATCGTTGCCACTCACAAAGTGCATCCCTATGGAGGTGGCCGCTGCGGTCTCAATTTCCGTGCCAATGTCTTCAATGAAGGGATACTCGTTTTGGTCGTGGACCATGATCTTGGCTCCTGTGGATGTCACCAGGAAGGGGTTGTAGTCTGCTTCATCGATGTACAGAACAACCTGCAATCCTGAACCACAGAGACAAGGCAGGAAGTTACACCAGGAGCTAGAGCCACGTTTTCTGGTCAGGGAGGGCAGGTTTGTTTCATGTTATCTGGCCTTAAGCAGAACTGTAACAGCCAAGCACAGCCTCTGCCCAGCCAGACCAAGACACCTGCAGCCAGTAACATCCCTTTGTGGCACCGAGTACAGCAAACAAATAACGTCTGCTGAGAACGTGGCTGGAACTCACTTCAAAAAGTTATATAACTGGGCAGCAGTAATTTCAGCTGGAAAACATTAGTGATGCAATGATATTATCTGTATTCTCAGGCAAGAGTTTGCACTAGTTCAAACAGGCATTTCCCCAATCAGCCTGTACATCTACAGCCAACACATCGCTCACGCTCCAGCAGGATCCAGTTTGCTGCACCACTTGTTATCAAACAGTTCCTCTGCAAACCGCCCTGGAACACCACACGCGTGCAAACCGCCCTGGAACACCACAGGTGTGCAAAGGGCCCTGGAACACCACAGGTGTGCAAAGTGCCCCGACACAGCCCAGGTGTGCAAAGTGCCCTGGAAAACCACAGGTGTGCCAAGGGCCCCGGCACAGCCCAGGTGTGCAAAGTGCCCTGGAAAACCACAGGTGTGCCAAGGGCCCCGGCACAGCCCAGGTGTGCCACGGGCACTCACCGTACTCGCTGCCGCCCGTGGAGGTGCTCAGGATGGTCCCGCTCTCGCCGCTGTTGAAGGTGTAGCAGTTGCCGTGCAGGGGGTGATGGAAACGAGTGAAATGCCTGGAATAAATCGAATAGCATGACATTGTTCCCTGTAGTTCTGTCTGTGGGAAAAAGGCAGCGCGTTTGGACTTTGGTTTTGACAGGGACAGACCAGGACTGCACGGGGGGTTTATTACTTCTTTGCGAGAAGTTTATTTTGCTGGAAGATGTGGGTCTCTTTCTGAGTAACTTGAAACTACATGGCAGTATGATCTAGTTTAATATTTCAGGAGATGGAAACTCGAGGAAATTTTAATGTGGGAATGGGGGTTAATAGCACGGGGGAGGCAGATTCACAGAACCAGTGGTGGCTCCTGCTGGAATTCAGCAAATACCAAATATTCCATTCCTACATATTATGGACTTGGAAATAAGCTGTTAAGATGGCAAGAATTTTCTGTGCACTGACCTTTTGTCACAAGATAGGCCATCAAAGAAACATGTCAGTAGAAGGTCCTCGGCAGAATAACTCAATTTTTCTTTAATCTCCAGGGGAATTTGTGCCATGATGTTCATGTAATGCAGCTTGTACCACTCCTGGATGGCGTTAACCCCCGAACTGAACGTGTACAGGGCACAGTCGCTGCTGTTGTTTGCGTCACACTGACAAGCACAGAGGGGAAAAAGCATTTCAGATGGACTGAAATCAGGGATTCTACAAGGCAGGTGTAAATTAAGGACTGTACATCTGATAGTGTTTCTCTTCCACAGAAATAACCATGTATGAAGTTACAGTGGGCATCAAAGACTTTTTATGCAGGGCTAAGTGATATGACCAAATATTTCAGGACCAAAAGCAGCCATGGAGGCTTGGGCAGAAGAGCAGGCAGGGTGCTCTTCACCACTGTGCACTGCAAAGCCACCTGAGCAGGCAATAAAACCTGCCATTGGGACACCGACCCCAACACAGCCCCTTGCTGCCCCACCGGGAACTTGCCGGCCAGGGCACAGTGACACTCACCAGCTGAAAGCCAATGATGTCATTGGAATCGCCCGAGTTCACGATGGACGAGTCCTTGTGAAAGACACTTCCCTCTATTTTCCTCTTCTGCCCAGTGTGCAGCTCAGTGGCTGTCCTGGAGAAGTCCTCGACCTTCAGCAGAGGGATCTGCTCGAAGAAGTCGCTCCCTGTGCTGTTCCAGTCATCCACCGACCGGCGCACCTTGGACTTGCCCTCAGAAAATCCATAGAAAGTTTCCAGAGCTTTTTTTGTCTCTTTGTCCAATTCGTATAAATATTCTTTCATGGCACTGTACCTGCACGGGAAACAAGGTAACAGTGATATCCCATCCCACCTCTCTGCCTGCTGCACTGTGGATGCCGTGGCTTGGGACAGAATTCCCGGTGGTCTCCCACCAGGTTCTCACATCGGTGAGGGCAGACAGAGCTACATCCATGCAGGGATCTTGGAGCAGGGACCCCAGGGAGCAGAGCAGACTGAACTACAGAGAAAGTTCTCCCAAGACTCTCAAGCTCCTTATGTTAGGAAGTCTGAGGAGGCAGAGTATGTGGAAATAAGACTTCATCTGTGAAGCATCATTAAAGAGCTGGATCCCCATGGGGCCCGGGGTGGTGGGAATCTGGCAGCAGAACAGAGAGCAATGTAAAGCATGATTTGACAGGAGAAAAAGTATTGCTGATGAATCATGTCAAAATATCCCATAAGGAAAGAAAGAAGCAAGAGAGGAGTGAGAGATCTGCCCTTTCCACTTTTTAGGAGATGATGCTGTTTGTAATCCTGGAACTTCGGTCCTGGGAAGAAGGGAATTTGAAGAGAGCCAAAGAGCTGACAGGGACTGTCTGGAGCAGAAAGCACGAACCGAGCCGGCAGCAGCGAGAGGCGAGAGTGTAAGCCACACAGCACGGAGGGGGATGCGGCACACCAGGCGCCCTCCAGGGAAAAGCCGCGGGAGGGAAAGTGCCGACAAGGAGCGCCGGGACGAGCTCGGGAGCTCCCATCGTCCCGCCAGCCCCCCGAGCCTTACTTGTACGGGTTGATGTTGCAGATGGTGACGGCGGGGAACGGCAGCTTCTGGAACTGGACGGTGACGGACACCGAGGCGCTGTAGTAGTTCATGAGGAGCTCCGCGCACTGCCAGAGGATGAGCCCCACGGCGCTGAGGGTCAGCACGATCCAGAGCAGGCGGCGCAGGCGGCCGCGGGACACCACGATGCGGCGGCAGCCGTGCGTGTTGGTGTTGAGGCAGTACCAGCGCATCAGCTCGCTCAGCGTGGGCGCCTGCGGGCCGCGCACCGGCAGCGTCCGCTTCAGCCGCGCCGTGATCTTCTTACCGGGAGCCGTGGCGGCCGCTGCGGGCGGAGCGGGCACTGAGCGGGCGGCCGGGGGATCGGCGCCCGCCCGGTGCCCCGCCACACCGCGACCGCAGGTCCCGTCCCGCCAGGAGCCGTCACCCGCCATCCCGCCCCTTCCCGGTGTTTGATCCCCCGGCCGGCCGTCCCGGGGGGGATCGCGCTCGCCGCGCCTCACCTCGGCCGCTCTCGGGGCCCGGCGGCGCCATGCTCCTCTCGCAGTCCCGGCGCCGCTGCCGATGGGCCGGCGGGCGGCCGCCCCGGTACCTACCCCCGCCGCCGGACCGCCCCGCCCCGGACCGCCCCGCCCCGCCCGCCCCGCTCCGCGGCCGCGCAGCGCCGCCCCACGGCGGCGGCCGGGGCTGCGCGGGGTGCCCGGAGTAACGGGCCCGAGCGGGGCGGGCCCGGCCGGGCGGGTCCCGGGAGCGCTGCCCGAGCCCCCGGTGAGGAGCGCGGGGACCGCGAAGGGCGGGGCCGGGGGCGGGACCAGCGCCGGGACCGGGGGCGCGGCCGCGGGGGTGGGGCCCGGCCCCGCCCTCCCGGCCCCGCCCCGCGCCAGCACCGAAGATGGCGGCGCTGCGGCAGCGTCTGCCCGTCGCCAAGGTGGCGGCGCGGTCACGTGGCGGCGCGCCCCGCCCCGCCCGCTGCATGGCGGCGCCGTGAAGCGGCGGAGCCGCGGCCCGACCCGGCCCGGCGGGATGCGGCGGCCGCCGGGCTGAGCTCCGGGCCGAGCGCCGGGCGGGCTGAGCGGGCCGAGCGCCGGGCGGGGATGCGCGCTGCGCCGCGCCGCCATGTCGCGGGTGAGCGGCCCCGGGCCGGCCGGCAGCGCCAAGGAGAAGCGCTCCTTCAGCAAGCGGCTTTTCCGCGGGAGGGCGGCGGGCGGCGGCGCGGGCTCGGCCCCGACCGCCGCCCCGGCCTCAGCGCCGTCCGGGCGGTCGCTCGGCGGGTTCATGAGCCGCGTGCTGAAGACCCTCTCCACGCTCTCGCACTACAGCAGCGAGCCCGAGACCCGCGGCGCGCTCGCCCCGCGCCTGCCCCCGCCGCAGGCGACGGGCGGCCTGGGCAGCTGCTTCCCGCCGGGCCCGCCGCGCAGCCCCGAGCCCCCGCCGCGCCCCGCCGGCGGCTCCGAGGCCGTGCCCGGCGTGGCGGGGCTGCGCAACCACGGCAACACCTGCTTCATGAACGCCATCCTGCAGTGCCTCAGCAACACCGAGCTCTTCGCCGAGTTCCTGGCGCTGGAGCAGTTCCGCGGCGGGCCGCCCCCCGCCGACGGGCCGCCGCCCGCGCCCGGAGAGGTCACGGAGCAGCTGGCGCAGCTGGTGCGGGCGCTCTGGACGCTCGAGTACACCCCGCAGCACAGCCGCGACTTCAAGGTGAGCCGGGGCCTCGTCCCGTCGAGGCGGGAGGAGCGAGCGCCAGGCCAGGCCGCCGGGAGCAGCCCCGGAGGGCCGGTGCCCGCGGTGCGGAGGCGGCGGGGCTCGGGGCTCAGCCGGTGCGGCCGTGGCTCACAGCAGGTCCAAACGCGACGCGACGGGTCACCGTCGCACCGGCACCGCGGGCTGCCCCGGTCACCAGCTGCGGAGGGTATCCTGCCGGGCCGAGCGGCCGCGCCGTGGGAAGAGCCCTCTGGCCCTGCCAGCTGCGTGCCAATGGCCCTGGAGTGCTGCTCCTGCTGCCAGCATCCTCCCCGGGCAGCACACCCTGCCCAGGTGACAGCGCTGGGCACCCACGGCAGCGCCCTGGGGATGGGACCGGTGCTGCCGCCGTGCTCTTTGCTCATGGTGCTTGATGCTGGCTGATGGCTCTGGATGGTTTTTATCGGTGAAAATAACCATTTTACTGTTTCATTCCTCTACTGTGCTACCATTAGGGAAGTTGCAACTAACTGTTGTTTGTGAGTTGTGAGTATGCAAGGAAGGAGGCTGTTGAGAGGTGTGCCTTGAAGTCTGCTAACCAAGAACTCGTGAGTCTCGGCTGATTTGGGGAGTGTGTTTCAGGAGTAGCTGCTTGTCCTCTCTTGCTCGGACTCGCTGGTGGTTGGCCCCGCAGTGTTGGTTCCATCCAACAGCCCCTGCCCTGCCCGGGCCTCGCGCCTGCCCAAGGAGCTGTTGGAGCACAGGGCTTGGTTCTTGTGCTGTGGTGTAAAAACTCCCTGCCGTGGCTTTGGATGAAATCGGGCAGAATTGTTTTAAAACTGCCCTAGGCCTGCTTTGCCTCCTGGAACAGGGAGAGGTATTATTCCTGGCACAGAAGACTCTGGCTGTGTTAGAGAATCAGAGGGTGGGTGGTAGCCTCCACACCATGAACTTAGAGACACTCAGGGGAATGTCTCTACCACTTGTAGGGGCATTTTTCTTGCAGGGTGACTTGCAGAGGAGATGTTCAAATGCATGGAAGCAGTGAGAACATTGACACAGTCTTGGGCCCTCTGTGTGCAGTTCAGCCGGGGTGCACAGCAGGTAGAGACTGCGTCCCAAAGTCAGCTCTCCCTTGGTGCTGCTGGGTGGTGGGATGTCCTAGAGGGTTCTCTGAGGTGGCAGTGGCCTTTGGCACCCTCAGTCATTTGCATGGCCAGCACCTCTTCCCTCTCTTGTCTTTGCTTCTCCTGTGGCTCTTGAGGCAGCTGCACCCACCTGTCCTGCAGGGAATAACCCTGGAGACCCTGGCTGTTTGCCTTCTCTCAGGATGCCTGCCACAAGGACCACGTGTGGCTCTGGTCTTTTCAGGAGAGGTTTTTATGGGAGAGCACTTGGAAAGCTGATCACTCTCTTGAGTCCAGTCTTGGCAGCACCGCGGGGCACTCACCTTGACCTGTCACTGCTCCTGAGGTGGTGTGGCAGGAGAACAAATTGTGGATTTCTCCTGAGTAATAGCAGGAAAAACGGTGAAAGCAGGATTGTCTTCTGGCAGTGGAGCTGATAGAAGGGGGAGCAGCTCTCTTTCTAGGCCAGGCTGTGGGAGCAGGGACACGAGTGGCAGCAGGAGGAAGAGCATCATGGCCAGGGATTAAATTAAGGCCATGTTCCGCGGGTGCTGAGAGCAGAGCTTTGCTGTTTGCAGGCGCTGCTGACGGTAAGGCAGCGCTGTTCTGCTAGGGATGGAGCTGGAGCCCATCCATCCCCTACCTGCCAGGTCCCTGGAGGTGCTGAAAAGCCTCTTGCTGGAGGAATCTGGTCCCAGTCGATCCAGTTCAGCACTGCACGGTGCCAGCAGCCTGGGTCCTGCTGCAGGACTGTGTCATTGTGTCAAGTGCTGTTCCCTTACTGAGGTCAATTACTTCTAATATGAAATTAATGTTTCTAAAGACAGTTAAGTTGCTGAACCTACTATTAAACTTTTTCTCAACAGCAGATTTGCACAGATCATTTACAAATGTAAACGATGCGCTCAGATTGGAGAAAGGTGAAGATCAGTATTTTCATTCTGGAAACTGCTGCTTCTCCCCAAAACAAGGAAAACATCCCCCCAGCTTGTTCTCCTTAGAGGGTGGAACATTCCTGCCTTGATGTAATTGTTTTTAAGGGTGTAAAGTATTTTCACAGAGTAACTTTGGGCTTTCCCTCCAAGAGTAATAGCCACTGACAGTAATATTGATTTGATAGGCAAAAGGCTCTTTATTCAGCATGCTTTCAAATCCATGTGTTGTTTTGTTTGCTATTTTTCCTCTTTTGGCACCAAATGTAACAGGACAAAAGCACTTGCTAATTCCTAAGTACTTCTCTGCAGCTACTAAATGTATTTTAGGACAGAGGATGATACTTATTTTTTTGCTCATTCTTATATCTGTAGGCTTCTATCTTGGAAGAGAGGAAATTATTTTCAAGGAAGCATGTCTTGGAGTCCTTGTGGACAGGGGCCTTTGAAGGGCTGGTTTCTAGCATACTTTTTACCCTCAGCTGGTTTTCCTTGGTAGTGTTTTCTCTCTTTTTAAGTTGGTCTTCAGGAAATAACCCATGTCATGGGTCTCTGAATGGTGCAGCTGCTGAAGCTAAGCAAAATGCAGTTTGAACAACTGGTTTGTGATAAATGGTTCATCTGTAGTTGCAGGTTGAGGGGAGAGCCTGGCAGAGAGCTTGTGCACAGAGAGGGGAGGTCGGGGATGCTGACAGAGCAGGGGGAAGCGGCGGGTGTAGAAGGCTGAGGTGGTAGGAAAAGGTCCCCAGGGACCGGACTGAGGGGTGAAGCAGAAGGGTTTGGTGCCTGGTTGGGAACAGAGCAGGAGCACCGTGGCAGAGCACCGTGGCAGGTGCTGGGTGTCTCTGCTGAGGGTGGCTTTCCCACCGGTGCTGGGCTCCTTTGCTGTTTCTTTAACAAGCCTTCTCTTCCGATTGCTCCGTGGGTTTTGTTTTCCTGCCCAAACAAAGCTGCTGCTGTCATAACAGGGGCTGATATTGCAGCCTGTGCTTCCTCTTTCCCCTTTGTGATGGGGTGACAATGGTGACAAACATCTATTGTGTGAGCAGGGTTTTGGGGTTGTTTTTTGCAGGGAGCTGTCCCGTGCTGCCCGCAGAGCTGCCGGAGTGTCAGACCGGGAGCACAGAGTGCCCTTTGTGCGGCAGCCCTCCGAGGGGATGGTGGGGGTCGGCAGTGAGAAGGATTGTGATTTAAACTAATTGGGCTTGGAAAATTATGTTCTTATGCAAATCCTCTGCCTTCTGTGGAGTGTGGGCCTTCTGTGAATGATGAGGCTCTTACTGTTTTGAGACTTTCTCTGAGGCTCCGGGGCGGTTGGCCACTGAAGCATGCCCGTGTTTAACGAGACCCTTTGCACGCCAGAGCTGGGATTGCATTTCTCATCCTACAAGAAGATGGCCTTGGCTGTGACCTGCAGCATGTTCAGCAAATACAGCACAGTCGCCATAACTCAGCTGGGTTGGATTGTCAGAATTGGATCTGAACCCAGAATTAATCCCTCTTGGTAGAGCAGGTATTATTGTGCCAGGTTAAAAGTGCTGCTTCCTTTTTTATTTATTTATTTTTAAACTTATGTTTGGTGTGGGATTTCCAGGTAGCTGTTTGAAACTCATTTCAAGGTGTTTTGGGAATGCATTTGGTGCAAATATCTCACTTTGGGACAAGCAATCTGTTGGGCACTTGTTTGGGAGTTAATCACTAACTCGTGAGTTATGAAGGAGCTCCTGCAAGTGTTGACATGGTCAGATATTTGCCTCCTGCTGAGGGTGCAGTGAGAGCTGCTCTCACTGGGGCTGCTGGGGCAGTGTGGCTGTCAGGAGCCTTTGGTCCTGCTCACGGAGCTGTCAGCCCCAGGCCCTTCTGCTCCCCAGAGCCCTTGTGCCTTGCTAATGGGGCCAGTGATGTGTCAGATGTGATCTCCAGGATTGTATGTAATTGTCTTGCTCTCTGCCCAGCACAGGATCAGTTATTTTATTCTGGGTAGGGTCAACTGCTTATTCCTAAGATATTTCTGCAGAGAGAAAACTGTCCTCCCTCTGCACAGAGGGATGGAAGAAAGGGACTTGAAAGAATAAATGTGAGACCCTTCACCCTTCCCTTCTGGTAGCGTGGCTGTTGGTTCCTGGTGCTTCAGTTTCTGTGTTGCTCTAAAGAGGCTTTGAGTGGGTTAGGTAATGTGGGATGTTGAAGTGCTTGTTGCAGTTCAGTCCACGTGCTTCCAGTGGTGGCATCAAACTGAGGAGATTTGTCCTAGGGCTGCTCTGGCAGTTGGAGTTGAAACACTTTCCTTGAAACAAAAAGCAAGTTACAAATTTTCTACATCATTTTTCTGATGGTTCTTGACATCACAGGAATGTGGTTCACTGGGATCACAAAGGTCTGGCAGTCCTGCCACTTTACACCTTTTTTTTTTAATGTTCATTATCAATAAGATGTAAGTCCATTATTGCATGTATGGTTTGTTTTGTTTTGCTTATTTTCTTGCCTATTTTTCCTTACAATTGCTTTACTCTTTCTACACGCATAAACCCCTTGGGAAGGGTTTCCTGCAGCAGTTCTGGTTGCCTTGAGGCAGCTGTCTGACTTACCTGTGAAATCCAAATGCTTTCTGGGGATTTCTGTGTTGTGCTTCAAACTTTGATCGGAGTGAGTGCAGCACAAGGAGCCGAGGCTGAGCAGCAGAGTCCAGAGGTTGGATGTGGTTTGCTGAGGGGGTTCTGCTAGAGGGGCAGCAGAAATGTGCTGTGGATGCTCCTTTCCAGAGCAGAGGCTTGGCTGAGGCAAGAGAAGGGACCCCAGTGTGGAACAGCACTCCTGCCCCACTGCCAGGCGCCCATGGGGGTTGGCAGGACCTTCTGTGAGGCCGGAGGGAGAATGTGCATCATTGCCAACATGTGTTTTCTGTCTTCTGAGCTTCCAGGTTTTTATTTCCGTGCTGCTTGTGCAAAATGACACATGGTGAAAGTATGAGAGCTGTGTGGTGCCTGGCAGCCCGTGGAAGCCGTCAGGGGGATGCATGTTCCCAGGCAGCTTGATTGGATCTGCGCTGCCCTGTGCTTTGCACATGGCCACACTTCATTGGAGTGAGCCCATTCTCCCTGCCGGTTCAGCACAGCACTGCTAATGAACTTGTTTGCATATGGCTGTGTCACTGAAGTGAGTGTTTGTTATAATGTGCAAGGGGAGGCTTCTCAGAGTGGTAATGATGGGATCCCCCCATCTCAGTTTCTGTGTCCAGCTTGGGACCTGCAGTAGAGCCTGGGGAGAGCAGGAGAGGTGCAGGTGTGCAGCTCCTTGGGCTCTGAGCCCAGCCTTCCCGTCTGCCCTCTGTGCCAGCATTTACCGATAGTCCTTTACTGGGCCGCTTCACGTTTGTGGCATTCTCCTGCTCCTCAGTCCCTTATTCTTTTCAATCCCACCAGTTGCTCTACTAGTGTAGCAGGAGAACAAGTTCTTGCTGAGCAGTTTGGGATTTCTGCTCTTTGTGAGGTGCATTCCCCTGGCAGCCAGCGCTGGCTCCTGGCAGTGCCTCCTGGCAGCAGGAGCTGCCCTCCTGGGAAGGGCCTGGAGAGGAGTGTGCCAGCTGGGCAGTGCAGCACCCATCCTGCCTCTGTGTCTGTGCACACTGCACAGCATCACCTGGGCAAGCTTCGCTCTCTCCCTGTGGCTGAAGGAAGGTGCTGAATGAGGATTAACAGGCTTCAGCCTGGGAGGGTGAGAGTGGCTGCTGGCATGAGAGGCGTTAGGCAGGGGCAGGGCGATGATGCTTCTTGTCTGGGCTTGTTGAACGTGGTGGAGAACCCCTCTGGTGCTGCTCCCTGTGGTGCTCCTCATGGCTTTGCTTCCTGAGCTACTCTCATGAGCGCTGTGCTTACTCCCCTCTGCCTTGCCCAGGGCAGGATGTGTGGGGACACGGGCTGCTGCCTGCAGAGCCTGGTGCCTCTGGCTGCCCAGAGGCCAGGGAGGAGAGCTCTGTCCTGCCCCGGCCGCTGGGACAGACATCCTGCCGTCAGAGCTCCCTTTTCCCTGTCTGATGCCTGTGCTAAGGCCAAGTCCACAGGGATCTCCTCTGCCCCTGGATGGAGGAGCTCCCCTCCTGAGCCCTGGGGCCTGAGCCACGCTGCTGCCTGGGAACTGGTGTCCCCAGAAAAGAACATCTCCAGAGAGGGGGAAGAGTGTCTGTGTGTGAGCAGAGAGGGCAATTCGGGTAACTGGTTGTCTGCTGTAGAACTTGCTCAAACACAAAACTGTGGTTGTGGGCTTGAAGAAGAGAAATAACGTGCTTGAGCATAACTTACTGTTGAACAGAAGATAAAGAATGGCCTTTCTCTCCTGCTCATGTGTGTCATTGGGTCAGGTCTCTGCTGAGCTGACTTTGTATCTGCAAATCCTTCCGCGGTTGCTTCCTAGCAGGACCACACTAGAAAGTAGCAGGCTGGCATTTTTCCTCTCGTTGTCTTTGTGATCTGGAACAATAATAGCAGCAAAGAAGAGGCCAGTAGTTCAGCTCTGTTTTGATCTATTTATTGCATCTATTTGGAGCGGTAGATGAATTATTATTAAACTTTCAGTGGCCTGGTAAAAATGATAATGTGTCTATGCTATAGATCTGCTTCATGGACAGGCAGGGACTGAAAAGGTTGTAGGGTGCTTGTATTAGGGGATATAAGTGGGATTGATGGGAAATTTTGATTTTTCCCCTTATCTCTTTGGATGGAGCCACTTCACTCAGGGTGTCTGTGTCCCACTGCCTGCACATCTGGTGGAACGGAGGATGCACCCACCTCCTGCCAGGCCCACAGGGGCTGAGCTGAGGATAGGGCTGGAGGTGCTGTGCATTGTGGAAGGTGTTGGGAGGCAGTGTCAGCGTCCATGCCCACCCCTGGTGCCTCACAGCTGAACCAGCCACACCAGAATTGTTCCAGAGTCATTCTTAACACCCTGCAATGCTGGACAGAAGCTGGTCAGATGTGCCAGCTCTGCTTACAGGAGAACCAGATTAGGGGCAGAGGATTAATGGCTCCTGGGGGTTGGTAAATGTGGTGGTTTCATGTGTTTTTAGAGCATTTGCATCCTAACCCTGTGTCTGAATCCAGTTACAGTTGCTGTTGCTGCAGGACCAGCAAAATTAGGTGTTGTCTTAAGTGATGAGCAAAAGAAGGGTGAAAGTTTCGGGTTATGGCAAGAGCAAGAAACCTTCTGCTGGGCTGGAAGGGCAGACTTGGAAAGTAAATATGGAGAGGTGCTGGGTGGCCAGTGCTCAGTGATGAGGCTCTTGCTCATTTGTCTGCTTTGCCTGCCAAACGTTCCTGGAGCTGTTCAGGAATGACCAGTCTGGCTGCTGAGGGGCTGCAGTGCCCCATCCACAGCACAGGGCTGGGGGGACCCCCATGCTGGACAGCCCTGTCTGTTGCTGGGGGCTGTGGGGACCCCCATGCTGTTCTGCCTGCTGCCCTCAGCCCACCAGGGAGCAGGGAGGTGTGTGGGGCTGTGTTTGGTGCTGACCCATCAGCCTGGGGGCCTGCCCTATGGGAGTTCCTGGTATTTGTCTCAGTTGTAAAGTTGTCAATTTGAGTCGGCACCTCTGTCTCTCAGATTTAATCACGTCCCTCACCACTGACTGTTCTGTGTGTCCGTTGTTCCCCCCACACCCTGCGTGTCTGGGCTTGCTGCCACAGCCCCTGACAGGGGCTGGGAGGGGGGCACACACACAGCATTCCCTGGAGCAGCAGCCACAGGGGTTCCAGCAGTCACAGACCCACCTGTAGCCCCTGACAGGGGCTGGGAGGGGGGCGCACACACAGCATTCCCTGGAGCAGCAGTCACACACCCACTTGTAGCAGCGCTGGCAGGAGCTGTTAGTGGTGCTGGGAACACGCTGCTGTTTGTTTAGCAGAGCCTCTCATGAGGAAGTTGCATCTGATATTTTGTAGTGCTTCCTGAATCACTTCCAACATCTTGCGATGTGTCTCCACAGGCAGCTCTTTATCCTTAGTCCACTCAGGCTGCAAGAGTGCTGAGGAAAGCAGAGCAATTATCATGGAGATGCTGCTGAGCCGAGCAGTGGCACAGATACGGAGCAGGGCACGTCACTGCTGTGCATCCCTGTTCCCTGTGCTTGGCATTGGTACAGGCTGGCTGCTCTCTGGGCACACTGCATCACCAGGGACACGCATCAGCAAAAGCCAGGGAGGCTCTGGACTGCACTGATGTGTGCCTCTGGGGAAGAGGCAATAACAAGTACTGGCCTGGATCCTGAAGTCCTTGTGAGAATCCCTCCATGTCCTGTTTTCAGAGGTGCTGGGGTCACACCAGTGTGGCACAGAGTGTTGGCTAGGGACCACTCCCATGGTTCAAGCTGTGTGCACATATTTTATGTGGGAGAGTGCTGGTCCCTGCACAGCATGGGCAGTAAATCTGCTGTCAGAAGGTCTGCACATATGTAATGAGAGCAGATTATTTCTGTTTCCCATTATTTTGCAGCCTTGAGACAGTGGACAGATTATAGAGCATAGAGGGTGTATGTTTATCAGTCCTTTCCTGCCTCTTTCATCACCACCCCCCTCTCTGGTGACCCCATTTTCAGAGGGATAAAGCGAGCAGCCCAGCCTCATTTCTCAAATCTGGTGCCAACTCTGATTAGAGGAGTGGAGGAGCTCTGGCACGAGGCACATGTGCAGCCTGCTGGGCCTGGGCTCCTTCCCACCCATTCCTGCCCTGCAGGTGCTGTCTGGCCTCTGCCCTGCCACTGTCCCTCCTGGGGACCCTGCTCTGTCAGTCATAGTCCTGTGTGAACAGTTTCTCTCTGTTCACACAGGTGTGCCAAGGGCGTATGTGCAGCACAGCGTGGCACAGGTGCTGCTCCAGCATTGGGAGCACTGGCTCTGGGGTGCCATGGTTCCTTGTGTCCAGGGAAAGCTGCAGCTCCCTGGCTGGGATGGCAGTACAAGATAGTGTTTAGGATGAGTGAGTTATGCATAGTGGAGTCTTGATACCCAGTGGAAAAAATTCCATGGTGGTCTGTCCTACTCCTGTGCTTGACACGGTGCTGATGGGATGTAATTTTGCTCTACCTGCATGATGATGATTGTAGAAGCACCTGTGATTTAGATGTTCTGATCCTGGCTGAGTCCAGGAACTGTAGACCTAGATTAGCATTGATCACCTGCATCAAGATTTTGGGAAAAGTGTGACCCCACCAAAACTGCAGTCAGCAAGACAGAGTGTGTGGGCATTAGGAGTCTAACTCGTTGTTTTGCTTCAGCTGGAGCAAACGGAAGGTTTCACAAGGGCAGCAGTGTCGGGGGCTATGTGAGGCAGGGTAGGTGTGCTGGAGGGGCCCCAGCCCTGCATTGGCTGCTGCTGCAGGGTCTCTTCTCCCCACAGAACATCGTGTCCAAGAACGCGATGCAGTACCGCGGCAACGCCCAGCACGATGCCCAGGAGTTCCTGCTTTGGCTGCTCGACAGAGTCCACGAGGATCTCAACAACGTGCTGAATTCCGGTGGCATGCCTCCACTCAAGGTGAGGGGTGCTGCTGGGGACACTGCGGGAGTCTAACTCGCACACAGGCTTTCCTGGTAAAGTAGTTCTCCCCGTTGGCTTCTCAGCTTCAGTAGTTCAGATGGAACAAAAGCTTGCGTTAAAATAAAGTTTGTTTCTGCCCTGGAATGTAACCAGCTGTTCCACTGATCCCTGCTCCCTGGGGCAGTTGTGTTTGAGTGGCTCTGCAATAGCCAGGAGGGTTTACTGGGGGCTGCCAGACCCTGTCAGGTGTGAGCCCCATGCCCTTCCTGGGGTGCCCTGCCCACCTCACCTTCCTGCATGCCCACCCCTTGGAGCAGAGTGTGCTTGGTAGTTAAAAATGCTTGTGGCATTTTCCCAGTGATTTTGGCTAAGGAAAGTGCAATTTGACTGGGGTTCTGGAGGCACCCTCTTGGTGCTCCCCCCACCCCTGGGTGTGCCTCAAGGGTTTGTTCTCTCTTTTAGCCGCCGCTGGAGGATGATGTGCTGCTTGAGGGCCCAGCCTTTCCCATCAGTAGCACTTTTGTGCAGGAACTCTTTCAAGCCCAGTACAGGTATGGTATTCTGTAAATTTGTTGAATGTATGGGTGACCCCAGTATGATTCTAAACTGACACTGGCTCCCAGTACGGTTGGGACTGGTGTCACTCTGTTGACAGCTGCTTCTGAATTCCTGCTGAACTAAGACCTTGCTCTAGAGGAAAGAGAGATCTTCACTGCTTCAAAACTGGTATATTCTGTGTAAATCTGCAGTAAATCTGTACCACTACACCTGTTCCTGTGCATCCTGAGAGTGAGTCAGTGCTTCATGGGCAAAGGCTCAGGAAAGCCTAGTGCTCTGGGGCTCACCCTGACTGTCAGAGGGAAGAGCCCATGGCAGGATCTAGAAGTGCCTGGGAGTTAGAGATCCCCCAGTGTGTGCAGAGTGCTTGTCATCTGGCACTTGGGAATTCTGAGTGAAGTTATCACTGTCCCTGCACGGCTTTCCCTTGGGTTTCCCTTCTTTCTGAGAAGAGAGCTTTCTAATTTAGAGCTATTGGAAGAGAACAGCTGAATCACCAGTGTTCCTTGATGACTTGTGCCTGTACTCCTGTAAGAATTAAATTGCTGGGCTTCCTCCCCAGTATTTGCCAACTTTTTCTTTGGAAAGGTAAAACCTTAAGCCTGGTCTAAGACACAAAGCCCTTGTCAGGTGCAGATTGATTCTGAATGAGAATGGAATTCTGGAGAATGAGAATGGACTCTCATCTGGAGTTTTCCCTGCGTTAGGGCTGTGTGCACCCCAGTGCTGGCTGTTTCCGTCCCCGTCCTGTAACTTCAGCTCTCCCAGAGACAAACCCTTCCAGGTTTCCCGTGGCGGATATGGGATTTGATGGTTTATACATTGCCAGTGAGGTGTAACTGCCCTGTTTTCCATGTTGTCCCAGGTCCTCCCTGACGTGCCCTCATTGCCAGAAGCAGAGCAACACCTTCGACCCCTTCCTGTGCATCTCGCTGCCGATCCCTCTGCCGCACACCCGGTACGGAGCTGTCCCGAGCTCTGGCTCTGTCCCCTGCGTGTCCTGCTCCTTCACTCGCTGCTGCAGGGGACAACACCAACAGCATTTCTGAGAAGTCATTAAAAAGATGGATAGGACCGTATGGAGATTAATGTTTTGCTGTTTAGGTCAAATGGAAAATTGAGGCTTTTACTTGAAAGGCCTATCCTTCCTATAGAATTAATTTTGGGAGAAAAAGTCGTTGCTTCACATAACCAAAATATTTTGCTGTTCCCTTGATTTATAGCATTTTAAAATTAAAAAAGGGAAAAGGTTGAAACACTGTTTTTTAAGAGCAGCCTCACTGGTCACTCCAATTTCAAAAATTGAAGTTAAAATCTTTCCTGCAAAATGTTTTGCTTTTTTGAAAGACAGCTGATGCAAATAAAGAAAAAACTGAAGGGGAGGAAAAAAAATCCAGATAAAACATTCAAAGTGAAGATAGGGATGCACAGCAAAAGTACCTGTGGTATAAACAAACTCCTTCACCTGGTGTTTGCATCCAGAAAACTTGTGTAGGTTCCAGAAGCAGTGGAACAGAGCAATGATAGGGCAGATGAAACATTGCTGTCACATTTGCTCTGGAAATCCCTGCTTCACCACTGGGTGGAGGCTGAGTGGGCTGTCCAGGGAAGGTGTCCCCTCCCTCTTCTCTCCCCAGGAGTGCTGCTGGCTGCTGTTGGAGGCAGGATTGAGGCAGCCTGTTCCCAGCAGCAGCTCTCCAAGTACTTCAGGGTGCTGTCTTATACTGACTGTCCCCAGCTTCCTTACTGGATCCCTGCTGGAAAACTGATGGCTTTCTCCTAGACAGTTTTGGTTTTAACTTTGTGGGCCCTTTTGAGATGTTCTGCTTGTGGGAGCAGGTAACACCAGGCCATACAGTAGGCAAGGAGTCTGTAATCAAACAGCCTGGTCAGGCTGCGGCTGAGTGCAGCTGCAGTGAGGTGGATCCGGACAGTCAGGAGGGCCCTGTTCCTGGTGGGCAGCCTGGGTGTGCCAGGCTGGGCTGAGGCTGCTCGGGCAGTGCCCAGGGGTGCTGAGCCCGGCCTGGCAGTGCTGCCGTGCTCTCCACAGGCCTCTCTACGTCACCGTGGTGTACCAGGGCAAGTGCTCGCACTGCATGCGCATCGGCGTGGCCGTGCCCGTCTCCGGAACCGTGGCCAGGCTGCGCGAGGCCGTGTCCTCGGAAACCAAGATACCCACGGAGCAGGTGAGGGGCTGGGCTGCTCACCTGGGTGCCCTCCCTGCGCTGGGAGGGAGAGGGGAGGCTTTTGTCCCTCGTTGGATGTGTAGGAGTCGGAATTGCCTGCCCATGGTTGAACAGGGAAGCGAGGTAGTGCTGGAAATCTGGATCATGCTCTTCCCTGTGCATTGCTGTTTGGATCCTAGTGATGTTGGAATAGCCCTCAGTGCAGTGTGCAGACCTGCCTGACCCCATGGTGTGCGTGCTGGCAGGGAGGCAACCACAGCAAATTCTTCTCTAGGAAGAGCTTCAGGAAAGCTGTTGAATTCCCTCAAAACCTCTCCATATGTTGCTTTTACCGCAGCTTCTCGTTTATGGCTGTCCTTTTCCCTGTTCCTTGCTCCTGGCTGATGACAGGGTGTGTTGAGGAGTGCCATCCCTTAGCAGGAAAATCCCAGCTGAGAGATGGGGCACTGAGCTGGTGTGGGTGCTTTGATGGGTTCTGGTTTGCTCGTGGTGCCTGCAGATCGTGCTGACAGAGATGTACTACGATGGGTTCCATCGCTCCTTCTGCGACACCGACGACTTGGACACCATCCACGAGAGCGACTGCATTTTTGCCTTTGAGACCCCGGAGATCTTCAGGCCTGAGGGCATCCTCAGTCAGAGAGGTGAGTCAATAACTCTTAATGCCCACCTTGGGTGACTGGTGAGAGAGGTTTGTGTGGGAAAAGAATGAGTCCCACAAGCTGTTGATGTTCTGGTGTATTGATTTCAGCTCTGACTTTGTCCAGGCTCATTCCAGAAGATTTAATAGTGTTGTCAGCTGGGAGGTTATCAAGCAGTGCTGTACACTCCTTTCTGCCTCTTCTCGAGGCTGATGCTGCAGGCCAGGCTGGCTTAATGGGAAAGCTCTTGTCAGGCTTAATTTAAAGGCCTGCTAGGGACCAGATGAAGCCACTGAAATTGTGTTATTTAAAATCAGATTGCTAGTGATGAATAAACAGTCTCAGGAATGAACAAACACTTTCTCTTTCCAAGCTCAAACTCCTCGGCCTCTTCATGGCCCCTCAGTGAAAGGTAATCATGGTATCCTGGGCAGGTGGGGTGTAATCAAAGGCAAATTTTATTATTGGAAGTAGCAAGTTGGGTTCTTGGCTCTTCAGTGTTTCTTGCGGGCAGTAAAAGCTGGAGTGCTTGTACAACCTGCTGTGAAAAATCAGATGGGGAGCACTTGCAGATAAACACTGTGAAAGGAAGTTGCTCTTTGAAGCCTTTGTCCAAGTGATGGAAATGCTCCTGATTCCACACTGACCTGCTCCTCTGTAGCCCAAGGAGGGCGTCTTGAGGGGGGCATTAGGGCACTAAAGGCAAATGACATAATGAAATGTTTCCTTTCTCCTAATTTTTCAGGAATACATGTGAACAATAACCTGAATAACTTGAAATGTGGCACTGAGCACTCCCGAACAATAGCTTACTCTCAAGGAATGGTGAAGTCTGGAAAACTGGAACAGTCCTCTCCTAAACTAGCAGCAAATGACAAGATTGTCTTGCTGGTGTGTAACAGAGCGTGCACTGGACAGCAGAGCAAAAGGTGACTGGCAGCAGCGTGGCTGGAGTTACTCTTCTGGCTGCTTCCTAAACTGACCTGCATTTTACTGTCCTGTAGTACAGGCTCAGGTGAAGGAGCAGCATCAGGTGCTAAAGAACTTGTTGATCAAAAAGCATTAATGGGTGCAGCAAAGTATTTCTAATTTTGGTGAACTTCACGTATTGCATTACTGCAAAGAAACAAATGCAGCCCAGTTGAGAGGATACACCACGTTTGTCTGGTTTGAGAGCAGCATGTTTGACCAGACCCTGTTATGGGTGGGAATTTTTAATTGGAGTGAAAATGGGGGGAAGGAGAGAAGTGAGAAACAACCATGGCAAAGGCATTTGTATCAGCTGGAGGCTGAGAACTGCCTCAGCCTCTGAAGCTTCACAAAACTTCACACGAAGTTCTCCCCTGTAGTTTGGGGTTCTGATTGCTGAACAGAATAACCTTTTAATTGTTCCTCAAATACTTCTTCTTCCCATAGGTTTGGCTTGCCCTTTGTGTTGCACTTGGAAAAAACAATTGCTTGGGATATTCTGCAGAAGGAAATACTGGAGAAGATGCAGTATTTCCTGCGGCCTGCAGCCTGCTTGCAGGTGAGACAAATGGGAGCTGTTGCATGCACAGGTTCCATTGCTCAGCCCTCTGTCAGCTCATTGGCACAGGCATCTTTGAGACCTTGTACATTTGCTTTGTCATGTCACACGTGTTCTAGGGTGAAGTCTTTGTCAGCCAGGGGCAGGCTGGCTTGGAGGCACTGAGGTGTCTCTGTTCTCTTATCGCAGGTTTGCCCGTTCAGCTTGCGAGTGGTCAGCGTTGTGGGCATAACATACTTGCTACCTCAGGAGGAGCGACCCCTCTGCCACCCAACAGTGGAAAGGTGAGCTGGCCCTCGGTGCTGCGTGCTTCCCAGCAGTGCAGAGAGCTGCGCTAGCTGGGAGCTCGGTGCTTGCCCTGCAGAAATGAGCAGTCCTGGTGGGGATGTGTGGAGCGCACTGCAGGGGCCTGAGGAGCAGGGAAATGAGGGAGCATCCTCAGGAAGCTGTGTGAGAATACCTCAGTTGTGTGTCATGCCATCTGGAGTCTGTCCTCCCTGGAAATGGAGAACAGAATGAAAATATTACTCTCACTATTTTTAATTTTTTTCTTGTGCCTGTTGTTCTTTGGAATGTTGATAAATGCCTGATCTGTAACGGGTGTATGTTGCCTTACAGCACTCGCATACTTGGGTGAAGGCATTTACCAGCTTTGCCAAGTGTTTTGCTGCGTGAATTCCTTTTACTCCTTTGCAAACCTCAGCTGTGGGAGTGAAGGAAGGGTGAAGGGCTTGTGGAGAGAAATTACATGCCTGTTGAAGATAATGTAGACTTTGAATTGAAAGGTAGTCTGACTTATTTCTGCTCCTCCCTGCAGGGCATTGAAGTCATGCGGACAGGGGGGAACTGCTCATGTGAAATTAGTGGTAGAATGGGACAAAGAAACTAAAGATTAGTAAGTATGAAGTAAAAACCCTTAAACTGTGTTCAGCCCACAATTGCTGTTTGCACCTTGCTTGTGTGAACTGTGCATCCTTCAGCAAACATGAGACCTCTCAAACTCCACCTGTGCCCAGCCCCTCTCTGCAGGGGCAGCCTGGGGAGCAGGGGGATGTGCTGGTAAATGTGGTGTCTCCCTGATGCAGCTTGTTTATGAATACAGAAGAGGAATATATTCCAGACTCTGAAAGCGTCCGCCAGCAGAGAGAGCTTCATCATCAACCTCAGATCTGCACTTTATCTCAGTGTTTCCAACTGTACACCAAAGAGGAACAGGTAGATACAGACTGTGTGCTCTGGCTTGTTCACATGCTGCAGGAACTCCCTCACTCCAGGCAGCTCTGTCGTGCAAACACTGATTCCTTGTGACAGAATAGATTTGTAACACCAGATTAGTTATCTGTGCTGCTAACGGAGCTTCTTTGCAGTGAGCAGCTTGTGGGAGGTCCTGCTGCTGCGTTCTTTGCCTCCCAAATGTTGATACAAGGACTTAGTCCTCTCTTTGGCAATTTCCTCTGTGAAATACAGTGAATATTATAAAGGGTCAGGACAGTGTGGCTTCATGGGTTCAGTTCTGCAGGGAGGTGGCCGCTCCCCTGCTCTGGCTCTGCCGTTGAGTGAGCCTGGAGGGACAGGAGTGATGGTGTGCACAGGCAGGCTGGAGAGGGCTCTGACCTGGCCCTGCCTGCACATGGGAGCCATCTGAGTTCCTTTGGTGGTCTCTAATCTGCTGCACAAAGGGCTCATCTGGAGATAGTCTTTGGACCCAGGACTGAGCTGTGATAGTTTGGGAACCTCTCTCTCTTGTTGGTTCTTTCAGAGGTGGGGGAAGAGTTAAATCTCTGTGGCTGCTGAGTTCTCTGAGCACTGGGCTTGGAGGAAGGCTTGGGGGACAGGGAGAGTCTTCAGTGTGTAACTCTGGGCTGTTGGGACTACAAAGGAAGGAGAGGGTTCCCAGAGGGCAGTGAGGTGTCAGAGGGGCATCCAAAGCACACCTTTCTTCTTTCTGCTCTGATTTTTTTCTGCTTTTTTATCCCTGCTTTTTCTCTACTACTGGTTTTCTTGAGACAATACTTTTCAGGCTGCCAAACCTGCCTGCCTTTTGCCTTGGTTTTTCCTTTTCCTTCTCCAATTCTAAGGCACTGGTGTTTATAAGGTGCAAAAAGTCCTCTGCACAGCAGCACTGGCTGAATTCTGCCTTGCAGCAGAAAGTGCCTCCTGAATGAGACACACATATTTCTGCCTGTCACTTTGAAAAGCATCATTGGGAACCCTGCATTTCCAGTGAGCTCGATAAGTGCTGGAGGGAGATGAGGCAGAGGGGTCAATGTCTGCACGGGGCTTGGGGCAGCAGGGGAGCAGTGGTGTGGTGCAAGCTGCCTTGGATTTGCAAACCAACACCCACTCCTGCCTGTTCCTTGTAGCTTGCCCCAGATGATGCATGGCGATGCCCACACTGTAAGCAGCTGCAGCAGGGTAGCATCACACTGAGCCTCTGGACCTTACCTGATGTTCTCATCATACATCTCAAAAGGTTTAGACAGGTAAGGATGCCTGTGGTGTTGCTGAGGGACTGCTGAGTGATGTGAGTGAACTCCCCTCTTTAGAAGCAGCCGTTCCGCCCTGTGTGTTCCTCACCTGGGCTTTCCCAGGCATGGTGGCCTCGGCCTCTGCAGCTCGTGCTCTTCTCTGTGCACAGGAAGGAGACCGAAGGATGAAACTTCAGAACATGGTGAAGTTTCCCTTGAGTGGCTTGGACATGACTCCTCACGTTGTGAAACGCAGCCAGAGCAGCTGGAGCCTGCCATCACACTGGTCACCTTGGAGGAAACCCTATGGCCTCGGCAGGGATCCTGAGGACTACATCTATGACTTGTATGCTGTCTGCAACCACCATGGCACCATGCAAGGGGGACATTATACAGGCAAGTGTCCTGCTGTGCTGTCTGTGGGGGAGCCTTTCACAAAGATGCTGGTTATATTTCTGTTTGCAGTCAGAAAGGGAGTCACTGATGGGAGCAGTGTCACAACTTACGGAGGGTGAAGGGAATGGAGCCACCCCAAATGATGTTCTGTTCTGAGTGGTAATGGTGGACAAAGAAAGTCCTGAAATGTAAGCTGTTTATAATGTTCTGGCAGCCTGAGGCTTCCATCTTGCCAGTCAGACTGGAAGATGATGCAAGAATCCATCTGTTCCTCGCATTGTCTGAGTCCATCATAGCAGATAACCTTACGTTAAATGTCATGCAGCAAACCTGAGAGCGGTAGGAGTGAGAGAGTCTTACAGTAATGTATTGTTCCTTAGCTTATTGCAAGAATTCTGTGGATGGCCAGTGGTACTGCTTTGATGACAGTGAAGTTCAGCAGCTTTCTGAAAGTGAAGTCTGCAAGCAGACCGCTTACATCTTGTTCTACCAGCGGCGCACAGCGATCCCCTCGTGGTCTGCCAACAGCTCGGTGGCAGGTAGGCCCTGCTGGCCCTGTCCAGGGCTGCCTCTGACTTGTCTTCCTCGGGTGCTTTGTCCTTCTGGGGAATTTTCCACCCAGCTCTGCTTAAACCCCCATTCTTGTGTCCCAGAACTCAGCGAGGCTTGTCTGAGTCTGTGGCTGGCTGTCAGAGGCCATGGGAACTTTCCAGCTCTTCTGCTAAGGCAGTTTTGGCGGGGAGATGGGGGAGCCCCTGTGCCCCACGGGTGACTGCTCAGAGCTGCCCTTGTGCAGGACGTCAAATCGTGACTTGCTCCTTCCCTGTGGCAGCACTCTCAGTCCTAAGGAGGTGCCCATAGTGCATGTGTTGGTGGAATCCAGGGTGAGCTGTGGCCCCTGGAAAAAAGGGATTTTTGTGGCCTTGGGGTGGAAGCTGAAATGCCCAGTGCCTGTGTGCTGGTATTCACAGCACGCTGGGACAAGTGCAGTTCTGACCATAAATGCTCCACAAGAGTACAGCCCCATTCCTGTGGCAGTGTCTGGGTGCTGGGGCCATGAGGGCCAGCTCCGGGCTCAGGTGTGAGCCAGGGCAGTGCAGCAGTGCCTGACCCGGGGCTGCCCCGCTCTGCTGACACGTGTGTGTGTGTGTGTGTGTGTGTGTGTGTGTGTGTGCGCCCCGCAGGCTCCACCAGCTCGTCGCTGTGCGAGCACTGGGTCAGCCGGCTCCCGGGCAGCAAGCAGCCCAGCGTGGCCTCGGCCGCCTCCTCGCGCCGCACCTCGCTCGCCTCGCTCTCCGAGTCCGTGGAGCTCGCCGGGGAGCGCAGCGAAGATGATGGTGTGTATCTCTCTCACAGGGGGCTGCTTGTCTTCCTGTGGCACGATCCTTGCTAAAACAGCTGCGACATCTGTGGTTGCGAGGGATGGTTAGTCCAGCTGAGACAGGCAGGAGCTGGCTCGGTGGGAGCACGGGTGGGCTTCTGTCTCATAGGAAAAGTTGGAGGACAGCGGGCAGGAACCTTAAGGAGCCTTTCAAAGAAAGCAAATGCCATCAATCAAACCTTTCAGTCAGGAGCTTCTCGTGCTAGTGTTCTCTCTGGGTCTCACTGCATCACCTTTGCAGGGTGGCTGACACAGTCCTGGCAGATTTAACATAAGCACTAATTACCTGCTGCTGTGCTTATGGATGGTCCCAAAGAGGGAGATGAGAACTTACCCATATGTGCAAGTTACTGTTCAGTTCCTGGCTTTGCCTGGTTCCTCCACACATTGTCTTGTAGCTTCTGAAAATGCAGAACTTCATGGGTCAGTCAGAACATTTGGAAGCTGCTGTGGAGATGTCCCTGCAGCAGTGCTGTGACAGCTGTCAGGTCCAACCATGGAAGTCACACTTCTAAAATACTTATATTTTGTGTTTCTAAATACAATTACATCACTTGATCTAGAGGTAGGAATCCTACTTTGCCTTTCACAGAATGCTCTGGGAAATATTCTTTAATACAGAATCATAATACTAGCTGGTGATCTTGCCAGTTTCAAGGACTTTAGGGGTGCAAACCTTGTGTTTGATCTGGTGCTCAGGGATGAGAAAAGAATCTGGGTTATCAGTTAGAGGCTTCAGAAAGCTGCTCCTGGGTGACCCCTAGCACATAACAGTTGTTGGATTCCTCATTCAGCTTTTTTGCAAGGAGCTGTGCCTGCAGCCTGCGTGGAGAGAGACGTGGTGAGGTGTGGGTGGGCGGCTTGGCTCTCGTGGGGAAACGTGGATGGGTGGGGTAAACCAGCTGCAGCCTTGGCTTTCCCACTGAGACTGTCACGTGCTTTCTCTGCAGGAGGATTTTCAACTCGACCATTTGTAAGGAGTGTCCAGCGTCAGAGCTTGTCATCCAGATCCTCTGTCACCAGCCCGCTGGCAGTGAGTGAGAACGGTGTCAGGCCCTCGTGGTCGCTCTCTGCAAAGCTGCAGTTCCGCTCCAACTCCCCATCGCGCTTCTCTGGAGATTCCCCAGTACATACCTCTGCTTCCACTCTGGAGAAGATTGGGGAAGCTGCTGACGATAAAGTTTCCACCTCGTGCTTTGGCAGCCTGAGGAATCTCTCTAGCAGCTACTTGGAGCCCTGTGACAGCAGTCGGCGAGAGCACAGGACAGCTCGCAGAGCCCCTTTGGCTGTCATGGAAGGGGCGTTCAGGGAAGAGTCCGTTGTAAGGACGTCGAGCTCAGACCTTTCAGATGGCTATGGGAAAAGCTCTGTGCAGCCAGACAGGAATCACCCTGCTCTGGACCCTTTTGATAACAACAATCAAATCGCCTTTGTTGACCAGAGCGATTCTGTGGACAGCTCCCCAGTGAAGGAGGTGAAAGCCCCAGCTGGGACGGGGCTGGCTGCAGAGAAGGCACATGACGCCCCTAAGAAGGGTCACAGCTCCAAAGGAGCTTCTGAGCCAGACAAAAGTTTGAGGAAGGGAAGGACAGTCTTAGCTACCCAAGAGAGCAAAGTGTCTCACTCTTCTCCTCCACTGAAGAGCTCTCAGAAAGCTTCCCGGTCTCGAAGTAAGGCCGACTCCTCGAGGGTCAGCGGGCGACACGGGTCTCCCGCTCCCACGCAGGCCAGGAAGGACCACGGCACAAAGCCCCTGGAGGCGTCTGTCCCTTCAGCTCCACAGAAGCAGAAGTCAGGTTCTTCTCCATCCTCCACGGCTGCCAAGAAAACCCCATCGGGCTCATTGACTAAGGGCTCTTCCTCCGGGAAGAGCCGGACTTCGGAGCGCAGCCTCAGCAGGGAGGGCTCCAAGGTCAGCCTGGGCTCGGACAAAACGAGCGTTACCAGCGGCTCCAGGACGAGCTCCCCGCGCATCAGCCACTCCAGGAGCGACAGCAGGGCGGCGGACAGCAGGCACGTGCGCAGCTCCTCCATGGCCAGCCTGCGCTCCCCCAGCGCCGCGGCGCGCTCCGGCCTCAAGAGGGACAGCAAGTCCGAAGAGAAGGGTTTGTCTTTCTTTAAATCAGCCTTAAGGCAGAAGGAGACACGGAGGTCGGCAGACCTGGGGAAGACAACGATGCTTTCAAAAAAGACAGGGAGTGTCGGTTCCAAGTCAGGCAGTAAAAATGTGCTGGAGGACAAACCGGATAAAGGTGGTGTCCCACCAGCCTCTCAAACCAATGCCAACATTACTACAAAAGAAAAACTTGTCTCAAAAGATGCCACATCTAACAAACATTCTCTGCTATCCAGTCGCAAGTCCAAGTCTTCCCAGCTAGATCCCGGAGTCCAGTCTCCTCCTTCCAGTGGCAAGCAGTCTGCTGACAAGCCGCTGAAAAAGTTACCTTCCAGCATGCAGGTGTCTGTACGGCCTTCTCTGGAACCTCAGTGAAATGCTGCAATCCAGGTGTCTTTTCTTCTGCTGAGAAGCTAATTTATTCTGAGCTCTTGTTTTTTGTTCATGTGCCTAATGTATGTTTTTGAGGAGAAGTTAACTGCAAGTTGTTAAAGCGCCTTTGATTCTGCCATCAAACCAAATAGCCACAGGCAGCCAGCACTGGTGCAAGTAGCCTAGCTGGAGTCGTTGTTGAACGTGAATGCAGCTGTCCCATAGCACTTGTACAGGAGTCTCTGTCGAAAGTGCAACAACTTTCTTCAGATTTGAGGGTTGGGACCTGCCCGCAGTTGTACTGACACTGGTGTGCTTTGTAGAGCTGTGAACTGATATTCCTTTGGTCTTGTTCTGAGTGGGCTGTGTCCACACTGGTGTATGGCCTTGTTCTGAGCTGTGGAGGATGCGAAGGAAACTGGAGAGACTGTCGCTTCTTTCTGCTCTCAACTCTCTGTCCCTGCTCCCCTCCATTTCCAAGCTTTCTAAAGGGCAATATTTCAACACTAATGTTGTTTCTCAGGTATATACTCAGCCAGTATAGGAGGGACTAGCATTAGTGACGGACAGAAAGGTACCTGTGTGTCTCTGTGCACGTCTGTGTAATAGATTTCCTTTTTGCATTCCAACAGCAGGAAGTTTGAAATGTAACCTGCGGTTTTTGTTGCTATGTCTGTGAAGAGTTTTGCTTTGTCCATACCTAAGGCAACCTCTAGCCTGTCCTGTTTCACTACTTTCTTCTGAAATGCTCTACTAAACAACAGAAGAAATCCCTGGGCAGCAGCTGCTGGCCAGCTCGTCCTGTGGAAGCAGTGCCATGGGAGAGTTACATCCACGCACCTGGATGGCCGTGATGCTGTCAGGATGGCCCTGTTCAGTCTCCTGGGAAGCATTTCCTGATGTGCTCAGACCCTTATCCTAGTGGTGTAATTAAGCCTCCATTTCCCTAGGGGTGATGTTTAGACCAAGTGTCATCCTGCCCTCTCTGAGCATGCTTTGACAGGCCCCTCTGCGTGGGTTGGAGGGGCAGTTTTCCTGTTCCCCAGAGTGCTGTACATTCTTCCCTCTGGCCTGCCTGTCCCCTGCCTGTGGGGCTGGCTGCCACATGTCCCTCAGTGGAAGGTTCCCCTTCTTGTTTGGATGGCAGCCTCCACCAGGGTCAAAACACTACATCTACTGATGTCTTTGTTTACATGCCCTTCTTACAGGGGAGATTCCTCAAGTTCTGTAAGGTTCCTCTTAAGGTGGATTTCTTAGGTCCTTTTACATATATGTGGTGTAATCCTTTTTTTTTTTTAAATCCACCAGTTTTTATTGACGTGCTGCATATCCTTTATCCGCAGCCTGTTGTGTAGGTTGTGACAAGCTGGGCAATGTGCTGGGCGGGCTCTCTGCTGAGTGAGGTCTGTGCCTGTCCAGCCCAATGGCAGGGCTTGGGCCAGGGACGGTGTGCTCTGTCCCATCAGCATGACAGACTGGCCTCTGCCCCCTCCCTTGCTGAGGTCCTGCTTGCCCTGCAGGCAGCCGTGCCCCCAGGACACCTTGCTGCTCTGGGATCAGTTTTCTGCTCAGCACACACCTGCAGCAGGCTTGGGAGGGAGGGGTTGGGGGCAGCAGCTCCTGGTGTGTGTGGGGCTGGGCCGGGAGTGCCCTCGAGCTGGGGCCAGTGTGGGATGAGCCCACGGAGCCCTTGCAGGGTCCTGGTGATGTCCTGCTGCATCCCCTCCTCGTGCTCCAGCAGTGCCCACAGCCTGAGCTGGAATGCCCTGCCTGTTCCAACCCAGACATGACTGTCCCCCCGTGCATTCCTTCGCCCAGGCGTTGTTTCAGTCTCATTTATTGCAGCAACGAGAAGCAAAGATTGCATTGCTTGCTTCTGAAATGTATGACTTGGATTATTCATGGATTATTTTCTGTTACATCCAGCAGAGCAGATAAGACTTGCTTCACATTGCAGTACTTAAATTACTCCCTGAAATGTTGATGTTGAAGTATTTGTTTAAGGTTTTATCTGTATTAAGGTCTTACACTGTCTTGGCTCTTCTCTTGTAACAACTCTTGTAGCAAGAATGTAATTCCGGTGGCTTACGCTGGCTCGGTTTGGGATCTTTCAATAGACAGAACTACTTTCTGTGCATTTTGCCATGGACATTTGTGAAAGGTTATTTTTATCAAGTGACATTTTTTTCATGTTATCATTCACTGGAGGAGTTTAAACTGGAAGCTGGTGTGTGGGTTTTGAGGTGGTTTGCTCCTGTGCTGCATGCCTGACTGAAGGGAATTTGGAGCCACGTCCAAACCTATGTTTTAGCTGAACACCAGTTCAATGTTTCTATCTGTAGCAAGATAATGGTCCTTGGAGCTCTCATTTGGGTAGAAGGGAGATGGAGGTCCTGGTATTCCAGCAGCTGATAAAAGTAATTGAACCCCTGCAATCCCATGAGAAGCCGATCTCACTCTCTTTCTGCACATTCTCCATAATTCCTGATGCTAATTGCTGCCAGCTCCAGCCCTATCTGCTCTCTCAGTGCAGCCAGCAGGGTTTGTGTCCCTCTGGAAGGGCAGCTCTGTGCACAGCTCCTTGCTGTGCAGTGTGAGCGGGCAGGAGGGCTGCCCTGGCAGTGCCCTTGTCCCTGGGCGGGTGGGGCTGCTCCTCTCTGCTGGGTTCCTGCTCAGGGGGTTTGGCTTGGGGTGTCCTCAGGCAAAGGGGTTTGGCTTGGCAGGGTGCACCAGGGCTCCTGTGGGACACGAGACATGCACTGGGCACAGTGTGGGAGTGCATCCTGCTCGTGTCTGTGTCTGTGCCAGGGCCCTTGGGAGCAGCCCCTGCTGTCCCTGCACAGCTCTGCCTGTCCCTGCACACATCTTCAGTAGTCAGCGAGCTTCCCTGCACAGGACAGGCTCGAAGGGTGTGGGAAACGCTGTTCTCTGGGAGTGTTAATCAAAGCCTTGTTGCTGTTACAGTCCTGACTCCATCAGTGAAGTAGGATAAATGTTTCTGAAACGGCATGTAGGTTATTACAGGCCCCGCTTAAAGGGATTTGGGGAAAATCATCAGTCCTCTCTCCTTGCTTTAAAGCAGACTTCTCTCTTGTCCCTTTCATGTGTAGGAGCTCCTGTCCATGGTGTTGTGTTGTCCAGCTGCCAGGATGTGGCATGGTACCAGGGAACACTCGAGAGAGGGACCTGCCAAGTCCTAGATGCCAGCACCACCGTGGCTTTGCAGATGGATCCTTCAAGCAGCAGTGGCTTGAGGCTGTTCTGGAGCAGCTGCATGTACATGGTCACGTCTTAAAGTTCCTGTTGGCCATCAGAAGCACTCGTGGCTGTGGGGGAGGTGGGCACTGCCGTCTCCCAGAGGCTGCTGCTGCCCAGGGACCTCTGCCTGCCCTGGGTGGTGGCATGTAGGGCCTGGAAGTCTCACTGGCGTCTGAGTGTGATGGGAACAGCTCTGCCAGCTCTGTCCTGCCCAGCCTGGCTGGGTGGCGGGGTCTGGGGCCTTCCTGCCAAGGTCCTGGAAGCAAGGTACAGCTCGCAGTGCTGGGCAGTGCCTGGGAAGGGAGCCCAGGCGTGCCCCTGCTCCCAGACAGGTGAGCTCCGAGGCAAAGCAGCGTTCAGGCAGAGTGTTTCCAGCTGGCTTTGGTTGGTTTGCCTGTGCCAGCGTGGGACCTGCATTTCACCCCACGTCCCCAGTCTGCCACTCGCTCCTGCTCCTGGAATTGGCCCCTGGGCGCAGGAGAGCAGCGCCTTCATTCCAGTGCTCAATTCCTACAGGAGTCACCTAGAGACTTTTTTTTACCCTTTTTGGGCCGTGTCTTTTGGACAGTGTTTAGTAGTATTCAAGTTATAAGCACATTTTCAACGACATGTATTGAAGAGGCACCTTTTATTTGTATTAATCACATTTGATAGACAATTTGGTGCCTGCAGTTCTCTGTAACTTGTGTCTCACTTTGGGTGTGTAAATTGTTAACCCTTTCACACTTATCAAATACGGATTAATAAAAACAAGATGCTTAGGATAGAAAGCTAGCAGCTTAATTGCACTTCTCCCACTGCAAGTGCCCTCATCGCTGTCGCCGCAGGGGTTTTGCTTTCTGAAGCTGCAACTGGAGCATGCCCAGCATTGTCCTCGGTGTGAGGCAGCCTGCATGGCCCTGCTGTCCCCCTGCATGTCCCTCCTAACTATGCAAGCCTCTCGCCCAGCCGTGGCTCTGGAGCGGGCTTGGAGCCTGTGCTGGCCCCGCTGCTGGCACACAGGAGCATGTCCCTGGGTTCTGCTTCCTTTGCACATCTCTGGCTCTTTCCTTTGCAGGATTCTGCGTTACTGACAAGGCTGCAGCGTAACGTAAGGTTAGAGGGATCGGAGCAGGGAAATGAGAACAAACTGATTTCTCTTTTGTGTTGTTTTTCCTTTTGTTAGCAGGGCAGCCCGCTCGGGTTCTGCGTGCAGCCTGGCATTGCCTGCAGCGTGAGGGGCTGTGAGCAGGGCGCACAGCGCTGCTGTGAGTGTCCTTGTCAGGGCAGCTGTTCCCTGCTGCCCAGGCTGCTCTTGGGGCTGTGCCTGCCTCTCTGGGGGAGCCCTGGGCTGCCCGGCCGTGCTCAGAGCGCCCTGGTGCTGGGGCTGGAGCCGTGTCCTGCCTGTGGGCAGCCCTGTGTGCTGCACGGCCGGGGCAGCTGCCCTGGGCTTCCTGCAGGTCCCAGGACTCCTCCTGTGGTGCCCTCCCCTTGGTCAGCTGGCATGGAGAGGGTGTGGAAACAACATTCCAAATAATTTCACTGTTGGGTGGTGGTGTTTTTTTTTTTTGTTTTGTTTTGTTTTTTGTTTTGGGTTTTTTTTTTTTTTAGTTTAGTTTGGTTTAGGTTTTTTTAAATCTTTGTCATTTGCCTACTAATCCAAAAGAATTTGGCAGTATCTAATGATACCTGTGGAGGGAACTGAAATTTAGTTTTAATCTGTGGTGAGATGAAAGTCCTACATGGTTTTCTCAACAAAAGCATCGTAAAGCAGTTACTGTTAAGAGCTTTATTTTGTAGAAGAAAAGCACCTGAAGACTTGTACAATGTCTGTGTTAGATCTGAAGGCTTAGGGACTCTGTTTTTTAGAAGGTGATAGCACTCAATTTATCTGCAAATAGTGTTTTTTAAAAGACACAGATTAAAACTAAGTGTAACCACCAGTCCCGGCTCACTCAGCCCTGCAGCGCACACGGGCCGGCCTCAGGCTCGCGTGCCACTTGTGAGTGCAATAACCCCTTTGGAGGTGCTACACTGCCTTGGGTAGGGTAACACAAGGGAATCCAGGCCACCGGTGGCTCCTTCATTGTCCTGTGGCCTTCCAAGTATGAATTTGTACAGATTTGCTCACCACCTGTGCCTCACCATTGGTTAAAATTGAATTTTAAGTCCTGTTGCAAATGCAATTTCTCTTCTGGACACAATGTCAGATTTTACACTGGAATATCTACAGTTCTCAAACTGCATGTCACATCACTGTACCTGGTACAGGGACGTGGGGCTTTCCCACACCTTTGATATTCTCCTCTGTATTTTAATGTTTTTGACCTGTACAGTAATTGGAAAGCAGGCTGTCTACTTGGGGTTGAACATTGTACCATAAATTTTAAATTATTTGAGGACAACTGCATGAGACTGTGTCAATGCCTTTTATTATTTATTTGTATGTTTTATTATTCGAGGTGTATGCACTTTTAATATGCAGAATTTATATTTTTATGTTAAAAATCATTTTCTTTCAGAAAGAAGAGTTTGAATATGAGGAATTGGAATTAAGTGCAAAAAGGGGAATATGTAATAAAATACAATAAATTTATTACTAGGCATCCTGCCTGAGTGAGCGTTTTTCCAGGCTGCAGCTTCAGCCTTGCTGTGTTCCTGCCCTGCCTGCTCTGGGCCCAGGGTGGGGGCACAGGAGCTTCCCCAGGGCAGCTTTGGGGACCCAGGGCCAGAGCCTGGCTTGGGCTCGGCCTGCGTGCTGGGGAGGGGAGGGCAGGGCTGCTGCTGCCCCTGTGCTGTTCTGATGCTTCTCTCTCCACAGACCCTCAGCAGCGCTGCTCTGCTCCGAGGGGCGTGGGACCTGCACCAGAGCCACTGCCGGTGAGTGGGGCCCTGAGCCCAGGGCAGGGGCTGTGCTCGGGTTCCTCTGTGGTGCTGGCGGGCGCACAGCTGCCCGGGCAGAGCTGGGAGTGCTCCCTGCCCGCCCATCCATCCATCCATCCATCCATGGTTCCATGCATCCATCCATCCATCCATCCATCCATCCATCCCTTGTGTCTCAGCCCCCCGCATGAAGGGGCTGCTCAGTGCCAGAGCAGTCCCCTGCCACCCCCAGCCCTGCCCGTGCCCCCTGCCACCCCCAGCCCTGCCCGTGCCCCCTGCCACCCACAGCAGTGAGGCCAGGCTCCCCGCAGCAGGGACACGTGGCCCCAGGTCCTGTGGCATTTGGGGCCAGGAGACCCCCAGGCACATCCCCGCCCGTCCAGGGGACCCTCAGGCCACCCTGCTACAGCATGGCCAGAGGTATTGGGGGCTGGGGTGGCCTCAGGGGTTCTGCCATCAGCAGACACGGGAGGCCTGAAGCTCCTGCAGCTCTGTGCTAATTAAAGATCATTTTTCCTTTAGCAGGGTGAGCAGCGGTGGCTCCAGATGTGGAGGAGAGCGAGGATGGGCTGCTCCTGCTGCCACCCCCAGCCCAGCGAGGAGGAGGAGGATGGAGCAAGGCGGGAGCAGGACAGGCTGCCTCTCCTGGTGCTGAATGGAAAACCTCTGTCCCCGCTGGGTTGTTTGCAGTGACCCAGCCGGGCTGGGAGAGCTGCTCCAGCTGCTCCAGCTGTGCGGGCACAGCCCCTGCCGGGCTGCCCAGTCTCGGGGCAGAGGGGGCACAGATTGGGCAGCCCAGGGTCTCCTCTGGGCCCAAGGATGGAAGATGATGTGCCCCACCCTGAGCCTGCAGCCCTTTGCGCTGTGCACTCAGATCCTCCTGCTCCAGTGAGCCCTCGGATCAGTGCATCAGGGGCTGGCGTGGGCATCACAAACTCGCCCTTCAACACGATGTTTGATTCTCAAGGGTTCCTTTTCTCTCTCCTCCTCCGTGCGTATTTTTGCAGGAGGGGACTGTTGCACAGGTGAGCAGCATTGTCACCCCCATGCCCTTCAGTGCTCACCAAAGGGGAAGTTGTCAGCTCCCCCTTGTTCCCCAAATCCCCAGATGGGGTTTCCTGTCTCCTTGCCTGGCAGTGGTTACACAAATGGTGATGTTGGTGTGTCCATCAACAGCTGTGCTGCATCAGCCCTTGCCCACAGGCTCCTGGGGCCCTGGAGCATGCATGGCCCCTGCCAGGGAGCCTTGGTCTGTGTTTCCATCCATCCATCCATCCATCCATCCTGCTGGGAGTGGTGAGCTGGCACTGAGCCTGGAGCTGCCCTGGCCAGTCAGGCACACGAGTCCCACCCCTGCCGTGTACCAGAGGCACTGCTTCACAGCTTGTGTGGAAATGGGGATGGCAGATGTCATATTAAATCATGGGGTCATCATTTATTTATAGGTGATTACATTAAAGAGAGATTAATATAGCCGAAGGCTTTGCAGAATTAATGTACTCGTGTTTATTGTATTTGCCAACATTTCTGCAATCCAGCTGGGTTTTCTGGCCACAGGATTTAACAGTGAGCCCAGTGCCATCCTCCAGCCTCCCTGGGAGGGGGGTGCAAGGTCCGTGTAGAACATCTGAGAACTTTGATCCTGGAGTGCTCAGTTCTGCTGCCTCCCACGCTGAGGGTCCGTGGGCAGCACCTGGGGCAGGGCAGGGCCCAGCAGTGCTTGGAGTGGGTCGGGAGGGGAGCCCGGGGCTGGGGCTCCCAGGCTGGATTATGCTGTGTTTAACTGGGATCAGACCAGGCAGAGCTGGGCTCTGAACCCTGGGCAGGGGCTGTGTCCCCGAGGAGCAGCCGTGGGGCAGTGCCAGCTGTTTCCTTGGCCCTGTGCCCCCAGAGCCGGGCCGGCTGTCACTGTCCCATGGGCTGCTGCCAGCTCAGGGGGCACCACAGAGCTGCCCTGCTGATGGGTGCACCAGAGGAGCCAGGAGCAGCCTGTGTGTGCTGGAGGTGCCAAACCACACAGGAACGGTCCCTGGTTGTGCCAGTCAGGACTGAGGGTGCAGAGTGGCTGTGTGACTCCCTGTGCTGCCTGGTGGGACACTGCCTGCCTGAGAGCCACAACAAACCCAGCTTTGGGAGGCTGGCAATAAATTGGAACACATTAGGCACTGTCACCCCTACCCCTGGACTCTTAAATTTTGCTCTAATTGGAGTATTGCTTTTCCTTCCTCAGCACTTTTTCCCCTCGGCCAGGTATCGATCCTGGCTCTGTGGGGATCTTGGCTAACTGTTGGCAATTTATGGGAACATAAAACTAGTCCATCGTAGAGCAAAAACCCCGCTTTTAATAAGAAATGGCGACATCAGCCAGAGGCTGATTCCAAGGTGGGTTTACCATTTTACAGTGGGTACCCAGGTCAGGGGAACGGGCTGTTGGGGAAACAGAGCATTAGAAGCCTCTTGGGCTGGGCAGGGGAGGCCTGAGGGGCTTTTGAATATGTGGGGTCTCTTTTCTGGTCTCCTGTGCCCTTTCTCATGGTGGCTGAGGGTCTGGCTGGGTCCCCTGACCCCACAGGACCTGGGTCCATGATCTGTCCCCTCCTGCCTTGGTCTCTGCTGTGTGTGGCAGGAGCTGGTGGGCAGCAGGCTGGGCTGGGGCTGCAGGAGATCACTGGGAATGAGGGGCTCTGGTGCTGGGCAACCTCCCCAACCCTTTCACGTGTCCTTGCTCAGCTCCCCCAGCCCCTGGGGCTCTGCCCTGGTGATGGGTGCCGGTGGCTTTGCAGACTGAGGCTGCTTGTGAATTCCCAGACCTGTGGGCCTTCATCCCCCTGGGCTGTTCCTGCAGCTTTGGGGCTGTGGGGTCCTTGGGGAGCAGGTCCCTGGGAACAGGGGGCACCTGGCACTCCCAGCCCAGCTCCAGCCCCGATGGGAGCTCCCGAGCATCCCTCACTCCCAGCCCAGCTCCCCCAGCCCGTATGGGAGCTCCCGAGCATCCCTCACTCCCAAACCAGCTCCAGCCCTCGCTCCCCGCCCAGCCAGCGCTGCCTCCCAGCCTGCAGACGGTCGCTCTGCCCTGTCTGTGTCACGCAGCGCCAGGGCGTGTTGTGTTGGGTGTCCCGGTGCTGTAACAGCTGCTCTCCCCGCCATTTGCTGCCATCTAATTGTGGTTTTATTGAAATGAGTCTAAATTGTCTGGGAATACATCAGCTCGCTGTCCCTGTGGCGCGCACTCCGTTAGATGCGAGCGCTCCGCAGCTCGCTCCCGTTTTTAATCTTGCAGAACCGGCTCCCTGGAGAGCGGCTGCACTTCCCAACAGCCCTGATGAGTTTCCAGGGCTGGGGTCAGACTGTCTTGGCAGCGGTAATGGGGCCGGGGGCCGCTCTGTGCTCCAGACTGTGAATAACGCCGCGGCT